ATGTATGTATGTTATGGTAAAAGTAAAGCTTTAAACCTAGCCTACATGCCTCCTGTCTTTTTCAGAGTATCAAAAAGCCTCACAAAGTTACTGCAGAACTGCCCAAACTATATATATTTTTGGCGCTCCGGACGTATTTGTACCAAGATGACGCGCAACCTGATTCCTAACAAAGTACACATACTATGTTCAGGTTGTGCGCCATCTTGGTACAAATAGTTGGGGAGCACCATATTTTTAACTGTAAATGAACAGTAATGTTTTAACAATGTTGTCTCGAGACCTAATCATAGTACTTATGCAAAAAATCACCAATGGCTAACATTCAAGAAATCAAACAATCTTATTGAGATAAATTAGTTGCTAACACTCATTTGTTACCAAAACAAATCTGAACTAAAAGTAGCATGTAAAATTACCATCTATAGCTGCCTACTTTAAAATGTTGACTCTTAGCATTCCAAATCTGGAGTCAACCACAGTCCAATGACATTCTGTTACAACAATGAAACTCTATATTGGAACGTTTTGAACAATTTTCTTGTGGATAGTGTGCATTGTCACAAACAAGAACATGACGCAAATTGGACTGAACAACACAGTGTTTCATTTATTTTATGACAGTGCACCCACACGGTGCTGTGTAGTTTACTTAACAGATAGCACGCAGAAAGAACACTAGTTAAACACAAATATACGAAAGTTCAGTATTAAAATAGAGGTATAATGAAGGACAGAAATAGTCGGATGAGACCAATAATAAAATAGAACATAGGTTATGAGAAACAATATTTGAAATTTATATAATAGAATCAAAAAAGCTATCAAACGTGAAACAAACATTCAAGGTTTTACTTATTGTCAAATAATCGTCATTGTTTTTTATGTTACGATAATAAATTAATGCTTCGTGAACAAGAACTTGCTTTATGTAATTATGTATGTGTTGTTCTCCAGATTCTAACAGCCGCAAAATTTCAGATCCAGTTTTAAAACAGTCTGATTTGTACACCAATGCTTTTGGAAAAGCAGGCCGAGTTCTGCTTGCACTTGGCCATGGGGTAAATTTCATTTCACAAAACTTGGATTGCAAATATTTATCAAAATTTATTAAAAATGTCGCCTCATCGACGTTCATCTTGATTTGTGAATCAATTGAAGCTAATTGCCTATTAACACTTCAAAAATAGAGAATGCCGAAATCCAGAGTGGAGGCGTTTTGATTCTGCGAATGAGCGGTTCATCATTTCTTATAAACTTGTACATATTGACTCTAATGTAGAATCTTCAATAGAGTGCCAAATTTCGTCTTCAATTTCATATTCAGGGCCAATTTTTTATCTTGTTTAGTGCCGACATCATATTTTGGTAAACTTGTCAAAAGAGGGGTTATTAGATTACGCTTTCGTTTGATTATTTTCATTTGAACGGGCGTATTAGAATTTGTTTGCTCGTCGGCATTACTATATGAAACTTTGGCATAAAATAAGAGGACACAGTTTTCTTTAATTAACCTGCTGCACTTATCACGAGAAATGACATTTATATTAGAATCATCAAATAATGTAGCAGAGGAACTTGACGTGAATGTGTAGGTCACAAAATGACCACTGTCGAATCTGGGACCCAAATGAACAACACAGCTGGTTAGTTCGTATGTATTAGTGGTTTTCAATGAATTATCGTACAGGGTAATATGCTCATCTAAAACAATAGGTTGCATTGATTTACTTGACCCTGTATTTCTCATAACAGTAAAAGTGAGCAGCAGTGGAGTAAATACAAGTTCGCTCTGATAATGTGATGCGCCCCCGCATGTTACGCATTGATTGCTTTGGGGTTTCATTTTATTGTTTATTATGTCTTGCATAGAAGTTATATTTTCCTGTTGAATGGGAACTTGGAAAAACATTTTTTCGTTTATTAATTGCCCAGAATGATCACAAACACTACACTTCGAAGATTAAGAAAACACAATTTGTTGTTAAGCCAAACTGTTCCAATATACCTCGCTGTATGAGCAATACCGTTGCATCCTGATGTTTGCCTAATTTCAACGTAAATTCTGTGCACGCGACATTCAAAACCAAATATAGAAAATCAATTTCAATGTTTTTATGTGCAATTAAAATTTTTAATATACCACAAAGGTGTTCCGCAAACTTGTTTCTGTGAGTATTCCCTTCAACATCTACCTTTAGTTTAGAAATAATGAATGAGAATGCCTGGAGCACTAAGTTAAACCAGCAGTTGTTCCAATTATAAACCATTTTAGTGTATATATTTTGGTCCGAAATGTAAGATCATGCATATAATGTGTTGCAATTTTTACTATTAACAGAATTAAGCAATCGGTATGTTAACCAGTGTACTTTTCAGCAATAAATTACGCATAATTTTGAAATTTTGTACCCATCGACCCAAATTGTTTATGTGTAGACTTTTAGAACTTTATCAATATCGAATAATAAAATCTCTCCCCACTTGGGCGGAAAGCGATTTGACTAACGTTTGAAAAGTGTATATATTTACAATTTTTTACCTATGCCATTATTTGAGAAATAGGCACTTTTCAGCAATGGATTACGCATAATTTAAAATTTTGTACCCCTCGACTCAAGTTGTTTTGTGTAGACTTTTAGAACCTTATTATTATCAAATAAAAAAATCTCTCCCCACTTGGGCGGAAAGCGATGTGACTTACGATTTTAGACCTATGCCGATATTTGAGAAATAGGCACTTTTCAGCAATGGATTACGCATAATTTTAAAATTTTATACCCATCGACTCAAGTTGTTTTGTGTAGACCTTTAGAATCTTATCAATATCAAATAATAAAATCTCTCCCCACTTCGGCGGCGGAAAGCCATGTGACTAACGTTTAAAAAGTGTGTATTTTTACGATTTTTCACCTATGCCATTATTTTAGAAATAGGCACTTCTCAGCAATGGATTACGCATAATTTTAAAATTTTTTACCCATCGACTCAAATTGTTTTGTGTAGATTTTCAGAACCTTATCAATATAAAATAATAAAATCTCGACCCACTTGGGCGGAAAGCCATGTGACTGACGTTTGAAAAGTATGTATTTTTACGATTTTTCACCTATGCCATTATTTGAGAAATAAGCACTTTTCAGCAATGGATTACGCATAATTTTAAAATTTTGTACCCATCGACTCGAGTTGTTTTGTGTAGACTTTTAGAACCTTATCATTATCAAATAATAAAATTTCTCCCCACTTGGGCGGAAAGCGATGTGACTCACGTTTGAAAAGTGTGTATTTTTACGATTTTTCACCTATGCCATTATTTGAGAAATATGCACTTTTCAGCAACGGATTACGCATAATTTTAAAATTTTGTACCCATCGACTCAAGTTGTTTTGTGTAGACTTTTTAGAAACTTATCAATATAAAATAATAAAATCTCTCCCCACTTGGGCGGAAAGCCATGTGACTGATATTTGAAAAGTATTTTTACGATTTTTCTGTAACCAGCAGATCGCCTCGAGATATTTTATGTATTTTTTTCCCCAATTTATTTGTTCATAGTTCGACTTTTTTTTTCTTTATAATTTAGTGTTAGACTTAATTTATAGGTGCCGCTGCTCGATAACCAGTACTGGTTTTCCGCGTCGCCTTCACCCTGAAATATGGCCTATTTATATTTTATTGCAATTTGTATGTTTGTGCCTATTTTAAGTATGGTGAGAAATAAACTACTGATTACTGACTTTCAGCTATGCCGATGTATGAAAAATAGGTTTTTTCATCAATGGATTAGGCATAATTTTAAAATTTTGTACCCATCGACTCAAGTTGTATTGTATAGACTTTTAGAACTATAATAATGATATCTCACCCCAGTTGGGCGAAATGGTTTGAAAAAGTGTAGTACCAAATGATTTCATTATATGCCTATTTGATACAACTATATCATTTCCAGCAATGTATTTCGGATATATTGTATGGATATATTAAATTGTTCTCAAATTCCAAGTTGTACAATATAGCGTATTTATATTTTACGTTGTTAAAAATGTTGGTATTCTTTCTGTATAAAGAAATGTCAATAAAGTTTAGTTACTTCGGTATTTCCTTTTGGCAATCTCTTTTCAAAGTACTTTCTCGTGCTGTATTGTTGTAGTTTTCAACTCATATTTATAAGTTGTTGCTTGATGATTCGCACTTCAAATTTTTTCTTGGACGCCACTATTATTTCAAGTCAGATACATAAGAATATCTTTATTTTGTTTTTTTACTTACATTTTTCCGAATTATGCGCATGGGAATTTACTCCCGCCTGCAATTCTGCTATGATATTTGAACATTTTGCTTGGTTGCGCACAAAGGTCACAGTGCGACTCACTTCCCAGTGGTCTATTGAATGGAAAATCTACGCTTGTCTATCACGAGCTGGCTCACTTTTGCGCGTAGTCAACAAAACAGTCCGGAATTCTTTCATTGCGTTTTGCGGGCGAAAGATTGATCGTTTTCTTATACAAAATACTTTCAAGTAAACACGAAGTAAAAAGTAAAAGTTTTTTACTTTTCACTTTGATACTATCTCGTTCAAGCATCCTTGTGGTGAGTGCCACATACGGATCCGAAGTAGAAAGGACCTGCAGTTTAATACACAATATCCAAGTTCCCCTAGTATAAACACGAAGTAGTTTTATATCTATAAGATGCACTTAGATACACTTGCACTCATAATAATAAAATAACACTATAATAAAATGACAAATATACATACGAACATACATCACTTTGTGAAAAATTTGTACACATAAAAATAACATTGTAGTAAAATGGATAAGATAAATATATACAAAGGGAACACGAAGTATCTATCGCCAATATTCCACTTTTTTATGATACTCTGCGGCGGATTCTTCCGATCTCCGGGAGGATCCATACTTGTTCTAATGTTTCCAACTAATTCACTGACTAGTTCCTGGCGAAATTGTACACCGTTCCATCTCCGACCAGATGCGGATTTACACACAAATCTTGCGTTGTGTAAGTATATTTCAGAAAGGTATGAAAATACACGTCTGTACCACGCTTTCGACTTTCGTGTCATATTGTGGTATTTCCGCATCTGGTCGGAAAGGTCGACCCCACCAATATGCGCACTGTAATCCGCAGTAAGGGGTTTCCACTAGTGTATTCAAAAGGATACTCTGGTTCGTGAATTTTAGATATAAGAAATATACAGCTTTATATCCACCCAAGACTGCGCAAGAATTTGCCCGGACGCCCGTCAGTCGGAGGAACCCCTTTGATTTCCGCCGCGCGAAATAGTTTTCAATATAAGTTCTTTTGGAAAGCCTAATCGTTCCGCACGCTAACACTCCATCTATGAGTGAAGAAAACAACGCTGGACTAGAATATAAATTGTTTAGGTAGAGATGGTAGTTTTGGTGCTCAAAGGGAGCTATTAGCTGGTATACAGCTCTCGTTGGTAGGTCCACCTCTGGCGAAGAGCTACCAAATTTGCCCGTATATAGTTGAATGCGAAAAACGTAGCCAGTTTTTGACTCGGCAAATACCTAAACTTCATTACGAAACGGGCTTTTTTAGACCTAATAAATCGTCGGAAGCCTCTTCTGCCAGTGAACGAGATTAGGGACTCGTCGGTCAAAACATCACGACGAGGCCCATAGACAGATAATAGTCTCTGCATCATCTCGTGATGGGGCATCGGTGTATTTACCGCCTAATACCTCATTTAAGATTTGTCCGGGATATTGTTTGCTAAGAGTTTTATATATTTGGGTTGGAATACTTTCCAGTTGACACTTGAGGTAATTAATTGATGTCTGACGATAAATCGACAATTACCTCGGTTATTCTGTCAGTATTCTTCTGAATAAAGCCAGTAAGGGTGCTTGAACCCAATTGGGAATTGACGAACCCAGAAGCTCTCAATGAATTACGTTGGTGCGTTTTAAATGAAAATCCAATATTTGTGCAAAATAGATTTGTACTAAAACATGTTTCCACATAGCCACCACATGAGCCCTACTGGTGGATGCCAGTTACCAATTCCTGAAAGTCTAATCTGTAAATTTCACCTGTCTTAATATAATGCAATGCCATTTTCGAATTGAAATTTTTGAATCGGGACATTCTGTCAAAGGGTAATTTTTCCAAATAATTGTTTGCGTACATACAGTACAAGATCCCGAATTAATACAACAAGTGGGAAATCCTGAGAATAGACCCAAAATAATACTTTTGATATGGTCGTAATACATTTTAGTTGAGCTAAATGAGCCTCAAAAACTTTCCCAGTTGTTGTTGGCCACTTATATTCATATTCTACTTCATTATTAGTAACTGAGGTTGATTTCAGATTACCTATATTTTAAGGGCGAAAGATTGAAGTAATAATATTATTTTGATTGGGCGTAATCATGCTGGCGTTTCTGGCGAGTTGTTCTACCGGAACACGTTGTTGTTGGCGGTTCAGTCCTGCTTAAAAATAATAACGCAGTTTTAGTATTCGGTTCAGTTGGTATTTTCATGTCGGTTTGCGCGAGTTTTATTCTATCCATACCTACAGTTTTTAATATCTATTTTATGATATTTTGCATGTTTTTGAACGAACGGACCAACCAATAGCGGTATTATTGTATATAAATAGGTAATTACATTTGAAATTCCATCTTACATTTTGAGATTTTCATACCCGTATAACTTTTAACGGCCGTTATATTACTACCAAGGTATCGTTATCGAAGATGTAACAAAAACAAAAAACGCGCGCAACCTTCCTTTTTCTATTTCACCATTAGCTTATATATCATTTTTAGTATGCTCATAAGTTAAGAACTATGGTGAGGTTGCCCTGGAAATAAGCTCGGACGACTTAAATGAATATGTTCGAATGACAGCTTCATCCTCGCCTAACTAAGAGGTGCACTATAAATAAGTTTGGAACACTTTAATTAGGATGATGGGTTGGGAGTGACAACATTGCTTGCTTCTCATCAATAAAGATCTATAACAGACTCAAACTGAACTAAATAAGTTTGGAACACTTTAATTAGGATGATGGGTTGGGAGTGACAACATTGCTTGCTTCTCATCAATAAAGATCTATAACAGACTCAAACTGAACTAGGGTTGCACTTGAAATAAGATTTCCTAACTTATTTACACGAGATCAGAGAACTAAAAGTTGCGAGCAGTTCCGATAGACATCGAGCATAGACGAAGATGTCTTTTTGATTGGTCTTCATTATTTAACTCTGTTGCCACAACACTGCATGTTTCACCCATTATACGATGAATCGCGTTAGCTTTGTAATGTTTTAAAGGGAACTGAAATCGCCTGCTATATGTGCCAACGCCAGACACAAGTAACTCATTATTGTGCTTCCGAAGAACATTCATTTAGGCCAAGATTCATCGCTTTTCTTAAAATGCCGCTGTTCTGGTGGTATGAGACATACAAATATAGCGGCGCGTATATCATGCCAGTCCGAAGGAATTGTTATTACAATACATAGTTGACCCTGTGAGAACTTTATAGCTCCTGCCATGTTATTGTATGTTAGACGCAGTACTACCCCGTTCAAATCCATCGGTTCCAAAACATCTCTGCTAATTGTTTTGGACCGTTTGGGTGATGTCGCTTCCCAAATCTTACCGCTGTATATCTCGTCTTGTGCTAAAAAGTGTGCAACAACAATTTCTGAGTTTATCCTAAAGAAACTGTGTCACAACTTATTGCTCAGCTTTTCGCGTTCAGACAACACGGGCTTGCAGGAACGTCGCTCCAATCCGTCAAAAATTGCAAATTTTTCAATGGTGTTGGACGCAATTCTCAATATTCTACAATAAGTGCTCAGCTTTTCGCGTTCAGACAACACGGGCTTGCAGGAACGTCGCTTCAATCCGTCAAAAATTGCAACTGTTTTTAATAGTGTTGACGCAATTCTCAATATCCTCCTTTTTCAACGACGCTTTCCTGAGAATTGCAAATATTCCTTGTGAAGCATTATCAGCCGCCGCACGTTCGTAGTGGCGCAACGAAAAAACTTCAAACGATGTCATGAGGTGAATAGAAGTTCAAAAACGAGAACTATCTGGTGGTGAAAGTTGGCATGGGTCTCCGTTTGTTATGACCATTTTATTTTTGAAAGAAGCGTCGCTCTTCATGTTGTTGTCTATTGTACTGTCCAGAACTGAATACAGTTTAGCAAAATAAGGCCTATCTCAAAGATAAAAATATACGTTCGTTGAAGCAACACTATTCTTGTTCCATCTATTCGAAAGGCGCCAATAAGATTTGGTTGGATTCTTTCAGGGGAACCATGATGCACTGAGTTTACTTGCAAAGGAAATGGCTGGTGTATTGGGACACAGCCCTAGCTCTCTCAGACGTTAAAGATAAGACATTGACTCGATATTCAGAGGCAAGAACGATGAAGGCGAACTAGCAGCACTAAAAACGATTTTCCAGTTCCTGGGAGACCAACAACTGGTGGGATTCTATGATTGACAAAATCTTACTGTGAACTTCAAAACAGTGTTAGGATATTTACTTTCTACGACTGGTATGAAAGAGCATGAACGTTCGTTGTCACTGCCTTGGGGTAACATCCAGTTACGGGATTTTATTTGATCCTATAACATCTTCAACAGCTGGCAAATTGCGCATATCTGCATTCAATAAAGTTGCATACAGCGCTTCGGTGCGATTTCTCATTCTATAAGTATATTTTAATTTTTCCGCAGAAAAAAATCATTCACAAAACACTAACAATGAACACACGAAGAATCGGCAAAACTGCCAAAGCCTTTATAAGGTTTAGTACATGTATTTCAAGAACTCTCTTTTGCTGTATACATAATTCTATTATGGGCGACAAGGCGCTGCTAAAATTATCCATATCCACGTCTATGGAAAATTACAATTTAGTAAAACCCAATTTTCGTTACACAAAAAAGTAAAACCCAATTTCCGTTACACGAAAAAATTTTTTGTTCACATTTTAATTTTTCTGCCCCACTTATCTTCAAATATGAGTTTTCACAGTCGAGCTCTAAAACCACATCGCGGACTCTAGTCCATATAAATTGTTTCTCACCCCCATGCGATTCTTCACCATAAGAATACTTTAACAAGTATGCAGTAGAAAATCTCAAATCACGAACAGCCGCGTTGAAAAAATACCGCAACGCACATTGGACTAAAGGTATAGTGGGTAAGTATGTACTACCAGGCGGATTCCTCGTTGAGTAGTGGTGCCGTCCTCCTTGAAGTCTGGGATCTGTCATTGTCAATGTCTCTTTGACTGTTCCATCGCCATCACCTTGCTGTTGCCTTTATTTTTAGCACTCTGTTTAGCATATCTTCTAGGTACATATCTTGTTTCATTTGAAAGTGGTGGTCGTGCCTGTTAAGATGTCTTGGAACTCGGCAAATGAAAGAATCTTCATCATTACTTCTTCTTTTACAACGTTCTCCGGCTCTGTTGCGGTTGTGCGTTGACAGTACCGTATACAACTTCTTTAACTCTTAATATTTGAAAAAATCTTTGACTGTTCCTTCAGAAAGAAGAGATTTGTAGTCTACCCCAAAACTTTAATCATTAAAAAACAGTATCGGAGTTGCAAGAAATTCGACGTAAAGTTTCCACAATCGACTCTGGGAATAGAGAAACACCAATATGAACATGTGCATTCTCACCAGACGACTTATGTGACTGAAACTCTAATCGGGAGAAGATATGTTCTGTTGGTCCCATGACTTGCTCAGGGCTTCTCATCATATAGTTCAGAAAAGAGGATGCGAAGAGTAACCATAAACGATTGGATATTCAAATATTGGCGTTATAAATACGTGTATAGTCTTCAGGTTTATCACACATCATTTTCATGGCTTCAATGATGCATCCGACCTCTGGTGACATACGTATTCATTACAAGTTAGTCATCCGATACTTCCATGGATGCAATTTGGTTGGTGCAGCAAGTCCCCAGAGGCTGAGTGACAATTCATAATCACCGTATGGTAGTGCAACATCTTGCGGCATAAAGTGAAAAGTGTGCTTTTTTGCCAAATGTTCCAACCCTCTTTTAGCAACCATTGCAAATGAATTACCTTTCAAACAGTTCTTCACCATCAGATCAAAGTGGTAATGGAGGCTTGTATGGTGCGCTGCCGTAGGCGAGTCATGGTCGCGTATTCTAATCCCAATTATATCTTTAAACCAGAGCATCTTTAAATCAGCATCGCGCCTCATGAACTTTTGTGGAATGGCTCTTATTGGAGCCTTGTTTTTCAGATCTTAAAATGTAGTTGGCAACAAAACTGACCCTCTGGATAAGGAAGCGAAACAAACAGCAGGTGATCCACTTTTTGCCACAAATTGTTGTAAAAAATCTTGTTGTCTTGTCCCCATTTTTTACGTCTCCGCCTTTAAAGAACATAGCAACCACCGTTCAGCGACTGTATATAAGAAATATTTATCACCAATTCTTCCCCACTTCTTGTAAACGATACAAACTCATCAGAATTTCGTGCCCTTACAAGATCACTTATATACGCTTTTTCATCCGGAATCCGAAAAAAGATGAATGGAATAGCGCGTCTGGAAGCAGTTACTGTGCCACTGCACGTCTCAGTACGGAGTAATTACGCCAAGGTCTCCTGATTGAAATTTATCTGTTTAGAGCAGAATTTCTTTGGTAGCCGTCGCAAAAATTCAGAAGCTTTTTCCACCTCACCAGTTGTGCTTTTGTCTGTAATGGAGAAGTTTATCATCATAAGTTATTTGTGCTTCAATGTAAGTTTGTTTTAAAATATTTTCTATATTCTCTGATGAATGTTTTTACAACCTTACGTTACTTGAAAACTTCTGTTTCATCAATTACTACTTTCGTCTGGTTCGAATATTTTCTTTGCCATTTTCATTGTTTCGTCTCTTAATAATCCAGCAACCAGTCTCTTAATAATCCAGCAACCATTATCCATATCTGGTACATGGCAATATTATCGAACTTCTGGAAGTTGTCGCAGTTTGTTGAAGAATTTCCACTGCCTCTCTTCAAACTCCGAGAACGAAAGACCACCACCATCATTTATAGACGATTCCATGACAGATGAAGCAACTTGTGATTGATTGACTGCACGTCTCAATTGGCGGCACAACTTTGGTAATTTGCAGATTTCAGCCTTCAATAATAGGTAGATAGACGCAATCACCGCCGCATCCTGCATCATGGAAATACAAGTCATTTAGTTGGCAAACCTCATGTAGCCAAGTTAATCCAGAAGGGCCATGCCTCTATCTTTCGTCTTTGAGTTTGAATGTCTTGGTTTCAACAGCCGCTGAAGGGTATATTTTATAACCCTTCTGTTTCCATACGGGTAGATGATCATTGTTTGCTGAGATGTTTCCAGCCTTCACGTTCACTTGCGGCGGGATCACGTTCGACAATCAATTGGCGTGATTATGGGCAACAGTGCAACATAGTTCCTGTTCAATGACATGTAGCAAATAATAATTAACAACGGTTGGGTATTGTCCACGAAAGAAAATCCTATCACAAATTTCTCCAAATGCGTAAAGTTATTGGAACAAGTTCGGCAACTGCACAAAAGCAGATACTTTGAGCCCATTTTTCACCATGCATTGTCAAAGACGCAAAGTCATTGAAATTTTGGGCTCTTCCAGAATTACTATCATCTTCACTATTTTTGAAGCGTGTAGCATAAAATACGAACCGAAAATCAGTGCTCGCCCAAATGCACATCGCAACTCACGACATCTTGAAACTTTCCATCGACTATTTGTGGCTTTCAACCCTTCAATGATAGATAAAATAAGTGCAATCACCACCGCCATTGTGAATAAACAGGTTGTTAAGCTTACAAACCTCAAGCAGCCATCAAACTCCAGATGTTCCGAAATTTCATCTTGAGTTCATTCTTTATCATTCGAGCATTACCGAACATAAAAATTAGTCTCTTATGTAATTCGAGAGTCCTGTTGCATACTAACGCAAATGTATTTCTGTAACATTTTGTCTGACCAAAATCAGACTTCCTCAGACGAGCAGTTTACAACAATGACAAGAGAAAAAAGCAATCGTACTTTTTAAATACGACGGTCGGACGAAACGTTACAGAAATACTTTTTTATCAGTAGGCAGCGGGACTCTTGAATTACATAGTATGGTCGTGTTTATTCCTGCTACAGCATCCATGCATTATACGCCTACGAACCCGCTAGGGCAAAGGCATCAGGGAAGGCTTGGGGTTTAGCCTCGAGCAATCTCTACTGCTAGTTATAAAAGTTATTACTTACAATTTGAGTTGTGCGGTGTCTCTGCAACGCTCTCTGCTTTCTTCAACATTCTGTGTTGAATCGTCTGTGAACTGTGAACTTTCAACTGAACGAAAAAAAGTTATTGTAAACGAAACCTTGTTCAATGAAAATAATTTGTAATACACGACTGCGACTTACGGTTTTAGATGTACGGCTTATCATTGCTCATTTTTATCTGGAACGCTGCATTGCCTCTTGACTTGCCCGGCTGAATACACTACGGTCACATTTAAATAAGAGAAATTCTTCCAACAATTCAACTCGTTATTCAATTAAAAAAAGATGTTACTTACACATAAAGGATGTTCATCACATATTTTTTCAACGTTTTGGTTTTGTCCAAAAAGTTTCATAATCTTGCAAGTTCAAGCATTATGAATAGTGTCATCGCAGTAACTGCACATTCGTTTGCGTTTGTAACCCATTTTATGTAGTTTGCAAAAATACAACTATCCCAATGTATTTAAAAATCTATATACTATTTGTAAGTACAAATGTTCAATTTGCTACATAGTATTATACGTCATCGTCATCCGCTGCTTATCCAAAACATGTCCAGCTTCATTGTCGGGCTCAAATTCATGCCTTTGTAGGGCGTCACCATTTATTTTCACCTTGCTAATGTGTAAATTGAATTTTTCTGTCACTACATCTTCTTTTTTAACTTCAGGGCTGTACCAGCCTAGAAGTCTGAAGCCTCTATGATTTTTCAATACTACAGCCATGTGGTATACCATGTCCATGAATTCCACGTCTTAGGGTGGAGATCAAAAGGGTAGTTTAACCTCGAATCGGAGTTTAACTTTGGATCGGCGGTTTAAGTCCGGATCAAAAAGGTGGTTTAACCTCGAATCGGAGTTTAACTTTGGATCGGCGGTTTAAGTCCGGATCAAAAAGGTGGTTTAACTTTCTGCGACTTAAATCTCGACTCAAAATCGGCGATTTTTTAAACCTAGTCTGGAGGTGGTTTAACTCGGTTTGTCGAGTGCATTTGGATTGCGACGCTTGTCGCGTTGGATTTTATCGCTTACCGTACATTCTGTATTGGATTTTGGGGCGACAAAATGTGTAGCAGGGAGCTCTGTACAAGCGCCACGACGAATAAATATTGGATACCTGTACCACGAGGCTGCGATGTGTAGCATTTGCGGTGGTACCGGTACCCGTGCTGTACCGGTACCTACCGTACTACGCCCGAACAAAATTATTTACAACGTGGAATTGGGCTATACTATCATAAATCTAGTAAGGTAAATACATACCTGGCGTATTGATATATTTTTGTATTTGCGTTTTTTTAAATTTCTTAGCAGTTTTTGTGAAGATTTATTTTAGCTTAGATTGTAGACTACAGCTGTACCGGTACCAGTAGTCTATTGCTATATGAGTACTTGTCATAAACAGACATAGGGCCCAGTATTTTAGTATAGTTTCGTTGGTAAGCAGTTGCGCAGGGGTACCGTCGAACAGATACTCCTAGTCCTAATACAGTAATATAAACTTCAAAATGTTTTAACAAAAATGATACATTTTCAGATATTTAGATCTACCAGTGCCCAAAAGATACCTTTTGGTTATATTTTGTGTATGAGCAGAACTGAGATTTACCTACGATATCCATGCATCACTTCTGCACTGAGACCCGGTGTATGTATCTTGTCATCGGCTAATTCACAAGTCTGCAAGTTCCCGAAGTTGGATCAAAAAAATAGGTAAGAAGCGAATAGATAGCAGAAGGTTGGCTGGATATTTTGATATACACCAATGTAAATTCATATTGCATGTTATTCGTATGCTGTATGCAGAGATGTACGATATTTATGGTATTAATGATTGTGACTCTTGCTATATAAAATGAAACTAGAATATTGCAGTACCATGCCCATGAATTTCACCAAATGCTAGAATGCAGGAATGAGTATATTGATAACTATATATTGCCAATAACTTATCATGAATGCAATGGTTCATGCTATCATAACTATTTATTTAATGTAACATTGTTTTCTGATTTTTCATTTATTTCTACAGCTGTTTCAAATCAAGTAAACTGTCTGAGTGCCACGATGATGATCAATTTCATCAGCTCTAGTGAAAAAGCAAATTTGTGAGTTTGTCACTATTTAAATGTCATATTATCTGTATGTAAACTGTCCTAAATTTATGTTCGCAATTTTCAGTAAAAATAGGAGCCTCTTTAGTATCAGTTGTTAAATGAAAATTATTTTAGTTTGTGTGTATAATCTGTATTATTCGTATAATGTGAGGATACTTTTATCAAGGTAAATTTCTTATTGGTATTGTCCCAGATCTGTTCAAGTAACCGAGATGTGACAAACTTTTCAAAATCATTCCCATTAGTCATTTCTTGTTACATGCAGGCAAAACTAGTGTCACATGATTTTAGAGTAGAGCAAAGTTGTTCGACATGCAATCACAATCGAAGACAAAAGAGCCTTCATTTAATATCTGGAAACTAAAAATACTTAACTGTTTTACTTTTCCAAATTCATATTATTAAATATACATTGGATTTTACGTAATTCTTATCATTTCAGAATACAAAAAAATCTGTACAAATTCGAATACAAATTATTCGGTTTTAGTCATTGCCTAGGTCGAATTTGCTTTTTTAATATCTAGCGCACTTCATCAATATACTTTATACAATCGTTAACCCTGTATTTTCATTTATATTGTTCAGGTCATGAAGACAAACAACTGTTATAGATTATAGTAAAAGTGTTCTCAAGTCAAGGTTGCAGCAGTGCTTTATTTTACGACTTCGTGTCCAACAAATATGTGGAACCGCCTTTGTGTCCAACAAATATGTGGAACCCCGTTAACTTAAGCTCAACAAACAAATAATTCTTGCATGCTAAAACATTTGAAACAAACGTAGTTATGTCAATTTTTCGTCACTTGGCGAGTCTTAGAAATAAATAAAACTTTTAAATAGCAACGAAAGCAACAACTATGATTGCACCTGTGTCTGTGTGCATCTGTCTCGAAGCTGTAGAGCCAGGATAAAATTTATCACCTCTTCCGAATTGATTCTATACTTTTCCATTTCTTGAATGTCGGTACATTTTAGCAGTCATTTGAACAAATAAATATTAGTTATTTTTGCAATACAAATTTTTCGAAATAATAAAATGTTAAATATGTAGAAGCTTGTGGCCCAGAACTTGCCAGGGATAGGTTTTCAGCTGAAGTGTGTTCGTTTCGTCTGTTTTCACTCTAAGTAGGATGTGGGTTCTATAATTTAAGTCTGTTTGTTGTTACGCTGAGGTTTTATGAGAAAAATATTAGATTCAATTGGTGTTGTAGACCAGGGTCCTCCAACTCGTGGCCCGCGGGCCATATGTAGAAGCATTTCTAGGTGTTTGCAAAAATAGCCTGTTAAGACAGACCATAACTCGTCTTGTTGAAGAGCTTGGGAATTCTATTGCAAGAGTTTTAATTGCAAAAGCGGAAATTTTTTATTGCATTCCTTGGCGCTTGAGGAAGCGCTGACATTAAGTTTACTGCTCAGTTGGTGACTTGCTATCTTTTTGCGGGTAGTTAATGATGATATAAAATTACCGTGGAGACCGCAGCCATTGCCCCTGTTAAGGGTACGAGGCATTGATTTTTCGAGAGCTGCGATAAAAATAATTAATCGTCTTGTCTTTTCTTTGGCTAAACTTTCGGGAATAACCACTGATGGCGACCCGTCAATGGTTTGAAAACAACAGTTTTATTGTTCTAGTAATTGTGAAAGTTTGATGTGAGGGTATTTTTTTATTATTAACCTGTAGTAGTGTATCAAAACTAGATCATAACTACCATGTCAATTGGCCCGCGCAATTATTAATGAATTACATGTGGTCCTTCGACCAAAAAGGTCGGCCGACCCTGTTGTAGTTGAAGACTGTACCAGTAGTGGGAAGAATTCTATTTATGATAAATTGTTCTTATTTCGATATTTTGTGTACTGCGCGTCAGCTCTTTGTAGTTCTACTGCCCAGCTTGTTTTGCTTCGGCAAAATCAACGAAATACATCAAAAACCGACTTTGCAAAGACAGCAAATTACAACAAAATTGGGTTCGCGTTGTCATCGCCATGGGAATACGGGGTCAAATAGCAACATGCCACGACGTTTTGATGAAATGCCTCGTGGCGTCGGACTTAAACCAGAATTAGTTAAGTAACCGCTAAACTAGGTTTTTGATCTCCGGTTAACTATCGAAGTTAAACTGAGTTTAACTAACTCGAGATTAGTCTTAATCCAGGTTTAAGTTAAGTGAGGTTTTTGATCTCCATCCCTAGGGTCTTCCCACTCAATTGATTGTTTCTTTATTTTGTTTTGTAATCTGCATTCTGTCAGTTCTATAGTCAAGTATATCGTGTAATATTCCATGTGCACAACTAACTTGAATATTTATAAGTCACTCACTTAATCTTGACGCGAGACAGCGCCGTCAGAACACAGAAAAACGCAGGAAGTCGCTCGATGATTTTCGAAGCAATAATAATCTGTCAGCACCAAGTCAAGCGTGTCGGGAATTCAACACCGGGACCAAATTTCGGAGTTACACGAGGTATAACAGCCACTTTGACAAAGTATTATTTGAAACAAAAATGTGAATACCCCACAAAACAACTTGGAATTAATAAAATGTAACGGTTCCAGGAGAAATATTAATGCACTCAACAAATGTGGTGGATTTTGCAGTGGCAAAAAAGTTATTGCTATTGATCACAAATCCATAATTTAAAAACACTCGACAAAATAATTCAAAACTTTTTGGCACATCTAAAATTATAAATATATATGTTGAAGCCATGTTTAGATAATAGCAATAATAGGTATCCAATTTATGTGAAAAAATTATTAGTACCAGCCTGAAATCAAGCAAAATGGATTATCATGGCAAACGTAAAACACCTCTTATGTTGTAATATGCAGCTGGTGACTTTGTATACAATGACAGAATGAATCTGGGAAAAAATTATCAAGATCAGTAAAACTCCATCATAAAACACTAATTAATTGAAGTTAAATATGTGTGTTTAATTTATGTTTTTCATACAGACGTCACAATTTCAATCACCCATCAGTCAATTTATATTATTGCTTACTGCTTTGATCAAACAGCATAAATTCTCACACTGCAACTTTTTTATGATCCGAAAATACACATATCTCTTATCAAAATTTACATTCCTTGACAAAAATTACTGTGATGGGTACCTATAAGAACATTTACAACTTACTCTTTTTTTATGCTGAACAATAGTAGCACAAAGCGGCTCTCTACTAGACTACATCTACTCATGGGAGCTTTAAAGTGAATTTAAAATCTTACTGTCAATGTGCTTTCGAGTCAAATTTATCTATGATGGTATTTTTACGTCGTTTATTACATTTTACTATAATTAGCCGAATTGACCCCTATCTCTGTATACGTACACTTTTGGAATGCAATTAATTCAAGTATTTTAATAAACCGTTAGCAGTGTTGACACGTTCCCGTGTTCTGAGATATCCGACTTTCAAGTTGAAATATTATTCACTGTAAATACTGTATCCATACAGGTATTTTATCCCAATCGTCTCGTAAGCCAGAGAGCATTATGTACATATATACACATTGATGTTGTTACATATTATTAGAATATCGGTATCGGTAATATCGGCAATTTTGAATATCGGCGTATCGGTATCCGGTCCTTTTCGTTGGTATCGGTATGGGTGAAAAAAGTGGTATCGGTACATCTCTAGTCAGAACACAGAAAAACGCAGGAAGTCGCACGATGATTTTCGAAGCAATAATAATCTGTCAGCACCAAGTCAAGCGTGTCGGCGAATTCGACATCGGGAGAAATTTCCGGAGTTACACGGGGTTGGTAGCACTATCATTGTTTGGAAGTTTAAAAAAAAATTGTTCAGAGCGAAGATCGGTACGTAAACTTTCTGCTTTAAGTCTCTTTTCATTTGCAGTTAGTTCAGCGAGGTTCGGGTGATTGGTTTCAAAATGGCGTCTGAGATTATATTCTTCTGGAACTGAAACCACGTCTCGGCAAACTAAACACAGTATTTTCGAGTTTACTACTGTAAATAAGTATTTATTTGTCCAATCTGAGTTGAACACTCTTCCCGCAGTTTCAATCTTTCTTTTCTTGTTTTCAGTCATTGCAACACTGCGGTATGCTAGCTACACAACAAACTAACTGCTGTTAAATAAACTGAAAGCAAAAATGCTCGTCAAACCACCAATTGTTCATCACAATGGACTAATCGAGATTCCCTGGTCAAACACGCACGCACCGTAGATTCCGGTTTTACGCACATTTACACAATTGTATAAGACACTCAAAATACATATTGCTAAAAAGCGAATTTCTTTAGCTTTGATAATATCACATGAAACCAGTTCGAGGGCCGCAATAAAAGGCTTTGCGGGACGTATGTTGTGCAGGCCTGGACTATAGCTTTGCATTGCTGCGAAGAAGAATTGTGAACCAGTTAGTCGAGAGCGCAACTAAAATGCAATGAGGCCATTACTGGGAACTGAACGCTCAGAATGAGTTGATGTACCCTGGAATGGAATATCAAGATAGTCTCTTGCTTGTTTTTAAAGCCGAAACGCAGTGACCTTTATTCTCCCACCTCTGACGTTTTCTGTCGTTGGTACCATGCTATTTCGTCAGTCCGAGTTTCGTCCTCGATGGTCACTGTTGGTGTGGAAAATATAAGATCCAAAATTGAAACGGGTTGGCGAGTCTGACTTTTCTGTGGGGCGTTCTTCTAGACGTGGAAATTCTGACATTTCTCTCAAACTGGCCCTCTTGGAGAAATTTGTCTCTCTTTGGAAAATTTTTTTTTTTGTATCAAGGATCGAGATAGGCAGTTTCAAAAAACACATTTGGGGCCACGGAAAAGAGAAATTAAGCAAATCGGTAGAACCTTTCTCTCAATGATGAGATTATATTAATGTTGAAGTTACCCTCAAAGGCTCCATCACTATTAATATTTCTCGATATTTATTGCACAAACTCTCTAACTATTGGCTATACTGAGGACAGGAAAAAATATTCGTCTCACTGGACGAACTTTGTTGGGGTATTTATATGGGCTAGTAACTCGACAAGCTTCTAAATTACCAGCCAATGAGCGCCACGAAGTTCTAATTTGGCAACCCGATCGCGATGAATGGTTGACAGATATTGTCTTATTGACCGTTGGTAAACACACAGTCTTTCAATCATGTCGTACGTGGAGTCCCAGTAAGACAATCCATTATCAAATCAAATGTAGTTTATCAATAGATCGTGTGTCCTCATACGATGTTCCCAGTTCATTCAAAGTACGAGACGATTGTTTTATGTGTTGCACAAGTTCACGTGCAACAGCAAGAGCCCGCTTTACACACAATTGCAGCGCAGCACACCCGATGTGGTGCAAACCACGAGTAGCAGTGCATTGTCACATACCAGCCGCAGCATAAGCGCCGACATTTGGAGACACAAACATATAGTAGTGGCTCCATAATCTCTTTCAACAAGGTGTTGTTTTGCAGGTCTAATGAACCATATGCAAGTTTTGTCCACGAATATATACCTATATTTTGCATCTGAAGCTGCAAGTTTATACGTAAAAAACATGAACCAGTATTTGCAGAAGCTTGTATCACAACGTGATTTCCATCAATGCTTCCAATACAGTTTGGCAACTGCCAGTCTAAAGCTTGACTCACACACAAAGCGACCAATACGACCGACCGACAAATCGTTTCGACGCCGACCATCGTCACATTCACACACATACCTACTGATCCCACTATTGGTCGATGAGGGAAAACGGGCAGGCTGTCGTTTTGGCACCGAAGTCTCAATGAAAAAAAACAGGTAGTTTTTGAAATGTGAGATTCAAAGAATTATTCATGACGATAAATACGGAGGACTCAGTTTGTAAAGTGGAATGTTGGTTGTCAAAAACTAAAATCTTGTATTGAAAATGATTGTTGATAGATATATGGAAAAGTTAAAGTCATCTGTTTTTAAAAGTTTGTCTAAAACAGGTTTTGAAGAACAGCTCACAATATGCAAAGTGGAAGCTATAAGCTATTACCCGAGCACTTAGAAGTCTTT